CGCGACTTGATTCATGAACTTGTGCTTCTTTTGAACCAGATGATTCCAGCACGCTAAGCCCTTCTATTGCAGGAGAAACTGTCCCGATTATTTTGAGTACTAGTTCATGAACATCATCATCATCATTTCTAAATGTCTTCCCTCTTCCCGATTCCGTCTGCTGACGATCGACATTTTTTCCTGAAAATATTGAAATACTTATTAGTAATTTTCTACCGACTTCAAAAAGGAGACGGTACTCAATTCGACTGTATGTTTTCTTATGTATGTTAGCTCACAATTTTTACTGGGTGAACCGATTTCGATGATTCTTTTTTATTTAAAAGCTGGTGCTTCACATGTCGTCCCATATGAATTTGATTAAGGTCAGACCAATAATCCTTGAGTTTTTCTTAATAATTTATATTGAAGTTGGTTATACAAATTTCTTAATTTTAAATTATATAGCTCAAATTAAACTCGCATATTATACGTTAATCTTATAGCACACCATTTTTTCGTTGGGAGTTAAAAACTAAGTAAAAATCGGTTCTTCCGTGTTTGAAACCTACGATGCCACAGGCAGACACAAATACAAAGACAAAGACACGCAGATACGCAGGTCAAACTTATAACACCCCTCATTTTACGTCGGGGATTAAAATGTAAAAAAAATGAGATGGACTTCATTATGACGACCAGACGACAACTGTTCGGTGATGTCTCAATCATCTCAATCCATGCCGGTTTTGACATCAACTGTTCGGTGATGTCAAAACCGGCAGCGATCACCCAATGGTGAGAGGCACACTGAATCTAAACGTTAAGTTGGAGAGGTCACGTCTAATGATGTCAACGCTCCGTCCCCCTCGTGCTCTAATCCAAAGTGCCAATACCTTTCAGCTCGAGCTACAAAACCGTTTTAACAGTGGTAGAGCCACGCGGCGGCTTTTGCTGTCGCACGGATGGGCCGGCTCGAACCGGGGTGGTACCACGACCTCACAGAATACCAACGTGAAGTAGAGGTTTACCTCTGCGTTTCGCTTGGTGAGTCCAGGTGGCCGGAGGCCCTTTTTACTGGAAATGAGGCATTCCATCTTAGTCCTCACGGGTGACAACGCATCTGCATTTTGATTCGCAAACGAGGATAGATGTAGATGTCTATGGGCCGCAGCAACCACTTACCATCAGGTGGACTGTATGCTCGTTTATCACCCTTATCTTATTAAAAAAAAAACCGTCTTCAGTGCCTAGAAGATTACAATGCAGTGGACGATATGAATGACAAGCTCGTGGAAATTGTACATGTGGTTGGAGCTAAGATTTGTAAGACCCGCCGAAGAAGAACACAAAAACTCTCCGATCACACTCTTAATCTAATGGCTTTTAGACGGGAAATGAAGCTGCAGTCTTCAGTAGATTTGACAGCATACACGTAACTGTATAGACAGATCTCCGAATGCATGCGGTGGGACTTACGCAACTTTAATACTGCCCGTATTGAAGAAACAATCGAGCGGAACCAGGGCTCAAAAATCTTTGCAAGAGATCTGTCTGCCAGAAAGAGCCAACTGTCAAAGCTGAAGACAGAGTGCGGCAGTCATTTCCGCGACCATTGAGATTTTGAGTGAGATTGAGAGATTCTATGGGCTGCCGTACCCATCATCGTTAGAGCCACACGAAATGTATAGTAACGATCCAAGAGCAAGTCTTATCAGACTCTATTCCGATGATATTTCGGACGTCAATTTGAGCGAGGTTAGTATGGCTCTCCAGCACCATAAAAACAAGCGGGTGGAAAATCGGTACTTGAAGCCCTTCAGAAGTTCTTTAATTCCGTACTCTATGGTGGCACAACACTGGAGGCGTGGAGCAGAAGTGTGGTGGTCTTGTTCTTCAAGAAAGGCGACAACGCTCTCTTGAAGAACTACAGACCGATTTCCCTTCTGAGCCGCATCTACGTGCTGTTTTCGAGAGTCATTACGAATCGTCTCGCATGCAGACTCGACGACTTCCAGCCTCCCGAACAAGCCAGTTTCCGAAAAGGCTTTAGCACCATAGACCACATACATACCCTTCGACAAATTGTACAGAAGTCCGAGAAGAACAATTTGCCACTATATCTTGTGTATGTGGACTATGAGAAAGTCTTTGATTTTGTCGAAATTTGTGCGGCGCTGCAATCCCTTCAGCGGTGCCAAGTTGACTGTCAATATCTCGAAGTGCTGAAGTGTACGTACAATAGGGCTACGAGGGCTATACGAGTACAGAACCAGAGTAGGAAACCTATCCAACTGCAGAGAGATGTAAGACAGGGTGACGTTATATCCCCGAAACTCTTCACCGCTGCATTGGAAGACGTTTTCAAGATTCTGGGCTGGAAAGGATACGGTATTAACACCAACGGCGAGTACATCACTGACCTTCGATTTACCGACGATGTAGTCCTTATGGCAGAATCGCTGGAGGACCTAAGCACTATGCTCAATAACCTCAGTAGTACCTCCCAACGGATAGGTCTTAATTTGAACATGGATAAAACAAAGTTTATATATAACGTCCATGTCACACCCATGCCGGTAGTTGTTGGGAGCAAGTTGTTGACGAGTATATTTAGCTGGGACAAATAGTCCGACTAGGTAAGTCTAACTTCGACCAAGAGGTCAATGAATGGATTCAACTTGGCTGGGCAATATTCGGGAAATTACGGCACATATTCTCATCAGTTACACCTCAAAACTTGAAAACGAGACTGTATAACCACTGCGTATTGCCAGTAGTGATCTATGGAACTGAGACATGGTACTTCACTGCTGGCTGGATAAAGAAGCTCAAGGTCGCTCAGCGAGCTATGGAGATGGCTGTGCTCGGAGTTTCACTGCGTGATAAACTTAAAAATGAAAAAGTTTCTCGATTGGCGGCCTCGTACCAGCGGACGAAGTGTGGGACGTCCCCCTACTAGATGGAGTGATGACCTGGTAAGTCATGCAGGAATTCGATGGATGCAGGTGGCTCAGGACCGTGCTTTGTAGCATTCCTTGGGGGAGGCCTATGTTCAGTAGTGCACTTGTGAAGGGCTGTAATGATGATGATGATTAAAATTTAATAGGCAGAATTCGGCCATAACACCTTTTTTATACCCAGCTTAATATTAACTATGCGGAATAACTTAAAAATCTGTTTACGATGGTCCTTTTTCTAATGTTTTGCCATATAGTGTCACGTAGGTATTTCCAGTCTTTGTTGTAGGTGCTCAAAGATTTAAACTGTTCTGCAATGTCTTTCCACTTTTTTATTTTCATATCGTGTGTTAATATCTCACTAAATCGACCGAATAAAACGTGTTTATTCTCGCACATTAGGGACAAAATCGTTATTTTGTTATTGTGCTCCATGACTTTTGTTATGAATCAAACAAATAGGAAAGCACTCTGTAAATGTAATTTTGAAATATACCCTCGTGAATTTCTTCAACAAAAATTTACATTTTATGTAATTTGTAATTTATAACTACACATTTGTAGATACAATATTTCATCGAATATTTAAACGTTTATTAAACAGCATTTATAATTATAATATTAATAAGATTTTTATATGTAAAATTCTTACATAATTGTAAGGTTTTATTAAACAGCACTTGTCATCCAACTTAACAAATATGTCGCTTATTTTCAAAATTGTCGAATTGTAACGTTTACCCAGGACGTCGAACATCTCAGGCCCCCGTGATCATGGGCGCTGTAAAGTACTCGAAACGTTAGTAATATAAAATAAGTAACACGCGATAAAATCATTAAAAACTGGTTTTATTTAAATCTCATAATAACGTCTAGTAAGTACATCTTTATTCATATCGATATTAATCGAAATTGTACACAATGTGTCCAGATTTGTAGTAATAAAATTTTAAGTCTATTTTGAGCCAGTTAATACGAGAGAAGAGTTGTGGGACCGAATCATGCTGGTTGCAAATGAAATTCGTGAAAATCCTAGTGTAATTAGGAAGGCCATTAAACAAATAGCTCCCAAAGCAACTGCGTGCTTAATTAATAGAAGCGATCATTGTGAGCAATTAATTGAGTTCAAAATGTATTGATTGTACTAATAAATGTGTTTTTATTTTATTAATTATCGAACAGTGCACTATTTTAACTTATAATACCGGGGAAAACAACTAGACAATCGCTTTTAGTTTGTTTTTAGATTATTGTAATATTCATATTTTAATTGTTAATTTCTCAGCTTTCCCGTTAGATACGGCAAAACTAATATTACTATTGTAATCTATATTCTATAAGGAATAAATCGACATGCAATTCATTAAGTTACGCCACAATTTGTATGGGCCCACGCTACATACAAAAATAAATTGTCTCCTTTGCGTTGTTTTATTTAAATTTTGCTATTATGTTTGTTGAATTTCTTCAAATCCAGGATATCCGATTTACTTTCATCGGGTCACTTTAGACAACATATGTTCGAAACTATTGTGTGTGTGGCGGCGCTGTCGTCGCGCCACAAGCAGAAATAGGAGCGTTGGTCGCTCCCCTGCCTGGTGACACCTTTCCTTCCACCGGCCACACGTGTACCGCTGTGATTTTTGTATTGCTCTATAAAATAACTCAAAGTCTAAATTAAAAATCCATAAAAGCTTGATCCCTAATTTTTAGGAAATGCAATAAAAACGTGTGAAATTATGTTTAAAAATTGTCTTTTATGACTCACTACAAGATTATCTTATCTTTTGTGTGTGACTTGAATATTTTTTTATATTTTCTATGCTATGGCCGTAAAAAAATCAATAAATGTACGCCTCAGTGAGACCTAGGTCCAAAGTTATGGTTGTCAAACTATGTGGATATCGAAATTAGTAAGTCAGATACTAAAATTGCTCTACTCGTATCTATGAGTGTGTGAGGATTGCACCCCTTATGTGGGTTGTTTATATCGTTAAAACGGACACATTATATAATTTAACAGATAGCATAAACGTAACAATGAAAACCATTAACTTTCAGATATCGAGCTTGCCAATATGAACGCTAATGTTTTACGGGATAGGAGCGTTCAGTGCTTTTCCCGCTTCGGGATACGTCATCTCTGGTGTGGCGCAATGAAGTGGAGGCGTATGCGTAAGTACCATATAGTACATGTTAAATTGTCATTAGCACCGGATCAACATGTTGTGCTTAGTTCTAGTTGAGCAATGCTAAGAATTTTCAGAATTTTATTTATTATGTATGACAAACGAGCATACCATTTTGTAACTATATTTTCTTTGTATTTTTTTTAATAAATACAAAGATATACACTTATACACCAGACAAAATGGAGTGTAATTCCTTTGCCTCTTTTTCGTTATCTAGGTAAAGATTTTTGATTTATAAAGCATCACATCGGCGCCCCTCTGGTGGCTATTTATTATAAATTATAACTACTAATTTATAATATAGTTCAGTGGAAAAAACATAAAAGCGATGTTAAATAAAAATGTACCCCTCCTGGGGTAGCTTTTTCTTAGATCCAGCATCGATAATCCTGAAGGTTCCCTCACTACGCCCAAACTGCAACAAACGGGGACTTCATTAAAACCTTAACGCTGTTTGCCACCATCTTGAGATGGCTAAGCCGGTCTAGCTCTTTCTCACCAAGACGGAATTCTCTCTGTCTGATACATTGTTTGCAATCTGGGTAAGATCCTCCTTCTCTGACTCCTTTCTTCAGAGAGGATATTTGTTCTCGACGCCTCGGTGGTCTCGAAGGCAGGGACCTGTCCATCCTTTGGCTACGCATAGACAGCGACGGCTACCCCCGCGTTGGCGAGTGCGTGCCTCTATAGGTCCCTCAGCGGTAATGCCGAGACAGACCGACTCTTCGACCACGTTCAAATGGCTACAGATTCTGTGCTTTTTTTAATAGGATCGGGTGACAAACGAGCGCACAGTCCACCTGATGCTAAGTGGTTGCTGTGGCCCATAGACATCTATATCTATCCTCAATAAAGACTCAAGATGCAGATCCATTGTCACCCGTGAGGACTAAGATGGATTGCCTCTTTTCCAGTAAAAAGTGTCTCCGATTCTCTACACTAACCATACGAAGCACAGCAGTGTTAAACTGCTATTTTACGCTGGTACTCTGTGAGAGCGTGGTCCTTCCCCGGTCGAGCCGACCCATTCGTGCTCCAACTATACTACTAATATAGCTGCAGCATGGCTCTACCACGTAAAAACAACTGATTCCATCTGCAGATATCGTGCTTCTTGGCGATCCCAACGCCCACCAAGCCAGATGGTTCAGTTCTTGTACTACCGATCATGCGTGGAGATCTGTTTACGACTTTGCCTTGGCATATGGTCTAACACAATTCTCCCACACGGATTCCAGATCTGGAGCATCATGCACCTTCCCTGTTAGACCTTCTGTTGAACTCTCAAACAGAGAGATATCAGGTTCCCCCTTATGCCTCTCTTGGCTCTTCGGATACTAAGGACTGCCTGATCTGTAAGCTGTCGCCGTGTGTGGCCTAATATATCAGAGGTTTGGGATGGGATGCGGGCTTTTATTGCATTCTACCCATGGGAACGGAGTTGCTTCTTGCTGGATGACCCCAACATCGTTGTTGTGTCAGTCCTCGATGTGTTGCTTCAGAAGATGGAAATTTTTATCCTGTCATTTGTAGTGCCCATCGGCGGCATATCCCAACCTTGGTTCCATTTCCTTAAAAAGAGTTATCACTAGTTGGAGCACATTGCGAGAGTGAAGGCGAGAAACTAGTTCGCATTTCTTCAGGAACTCGTGCATTCTGTTCTCTCGACAAGGCTGCCCAAGATAATTTCTGGAAACTATCGTTACCATTTCTGCGCAGAGAGGATAACTCGATGGCCCACACCTCAACGCCCGGGGGAATCAACCGCCGACCATTTGGCAGTGTGAATGTTCAAAGCAGGATGTTAGGTTCACACAGTGCTTAGTGCGTAAAGCACTAATGTCCCTGGATGTTCATAGGTGGAGTGCGCCTGATGGAATCCCCCCAATTATTCTGAAGACGTGTATTCTACGCGTTCTTACGAGTCTTTTCCGGTCCTCTTACACTTTAGGGGTCGTTCCAAGCTTATGGAGGATGATCTTAGTGCACCCGATCCCTAAAAAGGTGATCGCTTGTCCAACTACAGGCCTATCACCATCACCTCCTTATTCTCCAAAATAATGGAATCCATTATTAACTGCAAGATCATGAGGTGCCTTGAAGAGGATCAGCTAATTAGTGACCATCAATATGGTTTCCGTCGAGCTCACTCAGCTCTTGATGATCTTGTCTACCTGACTCACTGAAGGGCGGAGGTAGTTGAGACCAAGTGGAAGGCCCTGTCGGTTAATTTGGACGTAGCGAAGGCCTTCGAAACGATTTGGCATAAAGCGCTTCTTTTAAAGCTTCCCTCTTATGGACTTACGGAGATATTATGCAATTGGGTCAACAGTTTTCATTCATATTGAATATTAAGCTGACGGTCAACGGTGCATGGCACGACTCGAAGCCTGTGAATGATGGTGTTCTACAAGGTTGCGTGCTATAGCCTACCCTATTCCTTTTGCATATCATTGATATGTTGCATACTAGTAAAATTCATTGCTATGTAAACGAAAGCACTGGCGATGGATTATACACCGGCCATGCTAATATTTCTCGGAAACACGTCGAGTGTCGGAATAAACTTGTGCCTGAAGTCGAGTTATTGTAAATCTAGTCCAGTTTAATTTCCAAAAGACTCTTTGTCGTATCTCTTCAATTTTGGGGCACCCCCCTCGTTGTCTCAGCTAGCATCCGAATCCTTGGCGTCAACATTTCGAGAGCGACCAGAATCGACGACAACCTCGTTCTTTCCGATCGCCTTGTTAAACTGGCTGTGCGATGAGACGTTGCATATCTATGCATCTTCTACCGCTTATAACACGGGGAGTGCTCAGAGGAATTGTTCAGATTAATTCCAGGTGCTGAATTCTACTATATTACACTACAACAGAACTCGTAATTCCATCCTCATCATCTCGATGGCTGGCGGTCCACTACGCTGCAATTTACGCGGAATTATTTGACTAGCACGACCATACTGTGGAATTTATTTCGCCGCGCGCTGCTTTGTAACCTTACACCCCTAGTTTGCCTTTAGGATAATCCGCCACTGCGTATGTACATTATCATACGCCGCCTTTTGTATAGAATAAGGGTGACAAACGAGCACTCAGTCCACCTAATGGCAGATAGACCATAGACATCTATATCTATATCGATTAAAAATCAAAATGCAATTTAATTTTAATTTTAAAGAAGTGCGGACAAACGAGCATGCGGCGCACCTGATGGAAAGTGTCGACCACCGCCCATGAATAACTGCTACACCAATGGTACTGGAGGTGCGTTGCCGCCCTTCTGAAAATGAGTAAGCTCGTTCCTTGAAGGTCCCTAAGCCGTATCGCTACTAAAAAATCGCCGGTAGAAAACGATTCCACAAAGAAGTTGCGTCGTCACCTGTGACGGCTGAGATGGAATGCCTCGTTTCCAGTAAAAAGAGTCCCCGGTTCTCTACACTCATTATACGAAACACAGATTTTTATGATGGTATTCTGTGAGTGCGTGCTCCTAGGTTCGTAAAATATATAATGTACATTGTGCGTTTGTGTAGTACGATCACTTAATATAGCAAATCCTTGATTTCGCCGCAATGTTCTACAATGGCCGTCGCAGCGGCTTTGTCAATCGAAATAAAAACGGACAAATAGTGCATGAAAACGATAAATGAGACATGTTATCTGTATATAAATGGTTAATATAAATTATTCAAACACAAATATGTACGTATATAGTACTGCGAGCCGCCCCGGCTTCGCTCGGGTGCTTTCTAGATCTCGACAACAGAGCTACACATACACACACATACACACACACACACATACACACCCACACATTCACACATTCACACACCCACACACCCACACACCGCCACACCCACACACTCCCACACCCACATCCACCCACCCACTCATCCACACACACACACACACACACACACACACACACACACACACACACACACACACACCCACACCCACACCCACACACCCCCACACCCACATCCAACACACACACACACCCACATCCAACCCACATACACACACACCCCCATACCCACACCCACACACCCACACACCCACACGTCCCCACACCCACACCCACACACCCCCACACCCACATCCAAAACCCACCCACACCCACACACACACACACACACACACACACACACACACACACATATTCACACACACACTCGCGCGCACGCGCGCACACGCGCACACGCCCACACGCACACACGCACGCACGCACGCACGCACGCACACACACAAACTTTGTGGAAGTGACTTGTTATGGAAGTGTAGAATCTCCTAACACAGGTATCTTTTTTACTTAAAAGGAGATTCCGGACACGGTTAAAACTGTACGAATTATGTTACCGAAATAAAGTTGATTTTATTTTATTTTTATTATTTTTATTTGGTATACTATTTTGTAAAAAAATATTATATCTTAAGTATCTATTAAAATGCTGATATTTCATCAACATCGTTCCAGCCGTTTAGTAGGAGTTCACTGACAAACAAGCACAGAAAAATTATATTTAAAAAGATATAATATAATATATAAAAGTATTTTATTTTAAAAAAAAATGCTCAATGATTTTAAACCAGACTTTAAATAATTTTTATTATGCATGTAGCACTAGAGTGGATTATTTTGATTACTACTTTTGTATTGTAAAATTTAAAAATTGTATAAACTAAGTTATTGTTAAGTGAAATTGTTTAAAAAAAAGTCCCGCTGGGTTTCTTGCTGGTTCCTCCCAGGACAGAGGTATTTTCCGAACCAGTGGTAATCAAACAAAAGAGCGACTTTCAATAAGTATTATTTATAATCTATATTGAGTATAAAAGTTTCTGTTTCTGTTTCTGTTTATATGTATAATTCTTCTGTTCATGTATATGTGACTGAACTCCTTCTAAATGGCTAAATCGATTTTGATAAAATTTTGTGTGTGTGCTTAACGTGAATCGAGAATGGTTTAGATTTAAAATTGGACGCGGTAGGTGGCGCTGCTGTCGAGATCTAGAAAACACCCGTGCGAAGCCAGGCGGACCGCTAGTTTATTA